AACGCAGTAGAGAGAGATACATTGATTATATACTCCTGAAAAAATCCTAGAGGGACTATACCGAACTTTGCACACGAAAATCAGTCACAACGAAAGCAAAAGACTTGGCAGACGATCCCATCCCTCCCAATTGAAAAGCAGGGGTTCACTAAGCACGTTAAGTAGAACCATACAATAAGTGTCTAGGGGCCCGAGACTGTCAACTGCCTTCCAGCACACAAAAAGTGTGATTTACCAACAGACCCCTGGCAGTCTTCAAGTTGGCACGGACAACACCCTAAAGTCAGTTTCCCTGATCATCCGGGCTGTGGCTCGAACGTTGTTTGCGTGCAGTCCCAGCAGCAACAGCCTGGTTGATCAGGCTCTGAATCCACCAGGAGCTGGTCACAGACCGGGCCGCGGGGGCGTTGACCCCCGGAACTCTCTCCATGGAAACTCCAGGAACACCCCTCCTTCAGAGTGCAGGCACTGTACTTCCCATCACTCAGGACTCCAGTCTCCGCCTGCCGTTTCCCTGAACCCCTCATAAATGTTACTTTGCTCACACTCCAAAAGCCACGTCAAGTATTAAACCATTTGTCCTCCTTCACTCCTATCAAACACGCTCACGCATGCCTGCTGAAGTCCCAAGCCCCTCGCACAACAAAACCACCTTTATACCCCATCCCTCTCAACCTTTCCTAGGCCGACCCCTACCCCCCGCCTTCCTTCCATACAGACTGATACACTCTATGAAGTCACACTGTTTCCGCTCCAAATCCCGTCTACAATGTCCCGAACCACCTCAACAAACCCTTCCACCGCCCTCGTGACAAACAGTTTTTGGTAATCCCGCAGCCCCTCCCTTACTTCCAAACATGGCGAATTCACTGCATTATATTCACACCACACATTGCCCTCAGACATGACATCTCCACTGCCTCCAGCCTTCTCCTCGCTGCAACATTCATATCACCCATGATTCACACCCATATAAGAGTGTTGGTAAAACTAACTCTCATACATTCCCCTCTTTGCCTCAAGGACAAAGTACTTTGTCTCACACATACTCCTAAGTGCCAACCAACTACATCCCTTTTCCCCTCATCAATTCTATGATTCACTTCATCTTTCATAGACCCATCCGCTGACACGGTCCACTCCCAAATATCTGAATACAATCACCCCTCCCATACTCTGCTCTCTCCTATCTGTATCCAGAACTTTCATCACTAACTTTTTGTTATCCCTCATACCCTACTCTTTCCGTATTCCACCTTTAATTTCTTCCTTTTGCACACCCTAAACCAAATTCATTCCAACCAATCTCTGGCAACTTCTCTTCAGAATCTCCCAAGAGCACAGTGTTCATCAGCAAAGAGCAACTGTGACAACTCCCACTTTGATTGTGATTCTTAGCTTTTAACTCCACGCTCTTGCCAATACCCTCGCATTCACTACTCTTAACAACCCCATCTATAAATATATTAAACAACCACGTGACATTCACACATACCTGTTGTCTAAGGCCCTACTTTTACTGGAAATAATTTCCCTCTATCCTACATACACTAATTGAAACCCTCACTATCCTCGAAAAACTCTTCACTGCTTTCGTGAACCTACCTCCTACACCATACACATGCAACTCTGCCACATTGCCCCCCTATCCACACCTGTCATACCCTTTTCCAAATCATAAATGCCACAAAGACCTCTTATGCCTATCTAAATACTGTTCACTTATAGTTTCAACATTCACTGTAACACATGTCCACACACCCCCTACCTTTCCTAAAGCCTCCTTGTTCATCTGCACCAATTCTCCGTCTTACCTATCCTTCAATAATAACTCTACCCATACACTTTACCAGGTTACTCAACAGACTTATCCCCCTATAATTTTGCATCTCTTTTATCCCCTTTGCCTTTATACAAATAACTATGCATGCTCTCTGCCAATCCTCCCTAGGACCTTACCCTCTTCCATACATTTTATTAAAAAATTGCAAAACCAACCACATCCAAACCAATATCCCCGACCTGCTTTTAACCTTTTCTATCTTTTCCCATCAATCCCGCTGCCCTTATACCCCCTTTCATTTTTCCTAATGCCTCATGAACTTCCTCCACACGTCACAACTGGCTCTTCCTGCACTCCTGCAAGATGTATCCTCCTTGCCCTTACACGAAATCACAGCTTCCTCCCTATCTTCATCAACATTACAATTCCTCAAAATATTCCCTCCATCTTCCCAATACCTCTAACTCTCCCATTTAATAACTCTCCTCCCTATTTTTAAACTGACAAATCCATTTGTTCTCTAGGCTTCCTTAACTTGTTAATCACACTCCAAAACTTTTTCTTATTTTCAACAAAAATTTGTTGTAACATCTCACCCACTCACTTCATTTTGCTCTCTTTTTACATTGCTTCACCACTCTCTTAACCTCTCTCATCATTTTTCTCCATATAGCTTCCCTCCTGCATCACTTCTACTTATAAAACTTCTCATATGCTAACTTTTTCTCACCCTTACTACTCTCTTACATCATCATTCCACCAATCGCCCTCTTGCCCTCCTCCACCCACTTTCCTGTAACCACAAACTTCTGCTGAACCTCTAACAATCTACATTTTTAAACCTACCCCATACCTCTCCGACCCCATTGCCTATGCCTCTCATTTGCCCATCTATCCTCCAATAGCTGTTAATATATCTTACCCTAACAGTACCTCCTCTTTAGTTTATATACCTTCACCTCTCTCTTCCCTGATGGCTTCTATTCTCCTTGCAATCCCATCTACCTTTTACTCTCAGTGTAGCTACAACTAGAAAGTGATCTGAATATCCTGTGGCCCCTCTATAAAACATGTACTCCTGAAGTCTACTCAAGTCTTTTATCTACCACTATAACCAACAAAACTACTGTCATTTCGCCCTACATCATATCTTGTATATTATTTATCCTCTTTATTTCTTAAAATACGTATTACCTATAACTAAACCCCTTTTTCTATACAAAGTTTCTATCAAGAGGCTGCCCATTACATACACCTGGCACCGCACCGCCAAACTTACCTACCCACACCCTCTCTAATAAGTTTGCCTCGCTACTTTAGCATTCAGGTCCCCTACCACAATTACACTCCTCACATTGGTTCAAAGCTCCTATACATTCACTTAACATCTCCCAAAATCTCTCTCTCTCCTCTACATACCTCACTTCTCCAGGTGCATACACTCTTATTATGACCCACTTTTCGCATCCAACCCTCTACTTTAATCCACATAATTCTTGAAGTTTAAACATCATATCTCTTTTTCCTCCTTCCCATAACTGATCATTTAACATTACTGCTACCCCTTCCTTTGCTCTCTCCTCAGATACTCCAGATTTTAATTAATCCCATTTATTTCCCCCCACTGAAACTCCCCTACCCCCTTCAGCTTGTTCGGCTTAGGGCAGGACATCCAACTTCTTTTCATTATAACATCAGCAATCATCTGTTTCTTGTCATCCGCACTACATCCACGCACATTTAAGCATCCCAGTTTTATAAAGTTTTTCTTCTTCTCTTTTTTAGTAAATGTCTACAGGAGAAGGGGTTACTAGCCCATTGCTCCCGCCATTTTAGTCGCCTCATACGACACGCATGGCTTACGGAGGAAAGATTCTTTTCCACTTCCCCATGGACAATAGAAGAAATAAAGAACAACAAGAGATATTTAGAAAAAGGAGAAAAACCTAGATGTATATATATATATATATATATATAATATATAATATATATATATATATAATATGCATGTGCGTGTCTGTGAAGTGTGACCAAAGTGTAAGTAGGAGTAGCAAGATATCCCTGTTATTTAGCGTGTTTATGAGACAGAAAAGGAAACCAGCAATCCTACCATCATGCAAAACAGTTACAGGTTTCTGTTTCACAGTCATCTGGCAGGACGGTAGTACTTCCCTGGGTGGTTGCTGTCTACCAACCTACTACTTGCCAACCTACTTGTCTACCAACTATACTTGCCACCACATATCCCGTGATTGAACCTGATTTACCAGTCAATAATACCTACGACTCATTCCCTGTCATGGAAGTTGCTGTTACAGGAGGTTTATAAGACCCACTAACACAACTACAGCTGTACTGGGGTAAATATTTATGTTGCAGGAAATGACCATATATTTGTACTATCAAGTTATATTGAACCCCTGGGGCCACTACTGGCTTGATTCTGACATAAGAACTGATCGCTCTTGTCTGAGAGACATGGTCTTTTAGCTCGACATTTCAATAAAATAGGTTCACTGGTAAACAATACACAAATAATCTATAATAATTATAATGTATCAGCAATACCTTATTATTATTACTACAATATTTAAGAGAGTTGTAAAGTTTGGGGAAGAGAGCAAAAGAATAGTAATGCAAAAGTCTAGAATAAATGTGGTTGTGGATGTTATTTAGTTTACTTGGTGTTGGTGTGATGGCGCTACTGGCCGAGTCTCCGTCATTATCCTGGAAGCCAATGCTGGGAGAAGCAGACTCCTCTCGGAGCAAGATGTGAGTTGTCCAGGAGGTAAGACCTATGTCAGGGATTTAATGTACAGGGAAGTGTGTCTCAGGGTTGATAGTGTATCAAAACTCTTGGTTAAGGCAGGTCAGGAAGGAAATATGGAGAAATTGTTACAGGGACCCAGGCTCGTGGAGTGGTTCAGAACACTATGCTAGAATTCAAATTGAAATTCAAATTCAAAGTTTATTCTCTATAAGGATTACAATGCTGAGTTTACAGAAATTTGGTTATTGTGTGGTTTACATTTAGTAAAATAGTGATTACATGGCTAGGCATTTCGGGCAGACTTAGTTTTATTCTTAATTGTAAAATATTACAAATTATGAGGTAAGTTGGTATTATGGCTAAGTGACTAAATACTAGTTTGTGAGTTTAGCAATGTGAATGCTTTTTTTTTTGGCACAGTACATAGTTTCATATTGAATCAACCCCCCCACCCCCCCCCCCCCCCCCCCCCCCCCCCTTTTTTTTTCCCCCCCCCCGGGGGGGGCCCCCCCCCCCCCCGGGGCCCCCCCCCCCCCCCCCCCTTTTCCCCCCCCCCCCCCCCTTTCCCGGGGTTTTTTTTTCCCCCCCTTTCCCCCCCCCCCCCCCCCCCCCCCCCCCGGGGGGGTTTTAATTTTTTTGGGGGAAATTTTCCCCCCCCCCCCTTTTTTTTTCCCCCCCCCCCCCCTTTTTTCCCCCCTTCCCCCCTTTCCCCCCCCCCCCCCCCCCCCTTTCCCCCCCCCCCCTTTCCCCCCCCCCCCTTTTTGGGCCCCCCAAACCCCCCCCCCCTTTTCCCGGGGCCCCCCTTCCCCCCCCCCCTTTTTTTCCCCCCCTTTTTTTTTTTTTTTTTGGGGGGGGGGGGGGGGCCCCCCCCCCCCCCCGGTTTTTTTTTTTTCCCCCCCCCTTTTTCCCCCCCCCCCACCCCCGGGCCCCCCCCCCCCCCCCCTTTCCCCCCCCCCCCCCCCCCCCGGGGGGGCCCCCCCCCGGGGGGGTTTTCCCCCCCCAAACCCCCCCCCTTTTCCCCCCCCCCCCCCTTTTTTTTGGGGGGGGTTTTTTCCCCCCCCCCCCCCCCCCCCCCCCCCCCCCCCAAAACCCCCCCCCCCCCCTTTTTTCCCCCCCCAAAGGGGGTTTTTTTTTTTTTTTTTTTTTTTCCCCCCCCCCCCCCCCCCCCCCCCCCCTTTTTCCTTTTTTCCCCCCGGGGGGGGAAAAAAATTTTTTTTAAACCCTTTTTTTTTTTCCCCCCCCCCCGGGGGTTTTCCCCCCCCCCCCCCCCCCCCCTTTTTGGAAAAAAAAATTTTTTTCCCCCCCCCGGGCCCCCCTTTTTGGGGGGGGGGGGTTTTTTTTTTTTTCCCCCCCCCCCCTTTTCCCCCCCCCCCTTTCCCCCCCCCCCCCCCCCCTTTTTTTTTTTCCCCCCCCCTTTTTTTTTGGGGGGTTCCCCCCCCCCCCCCCCTTTTTTTTCCCCCCCAAACTTTTTTTCCCCCCGGTTTTTTCCCCCTTTTTCCCCCCCCCCCCCCCCCCCCCCCCCCCTTTTTTTCCCCCCCCCGGGGGGGCCCCCCCCCCCCCCCCCTTTTTTTCCTTACCCCTTTTGGGGGTTTTTTTTTTTTTCCCCCTCCCCCCCCCCCCCCCCCCCCCCCCCCTTTTTTTTGGGGGGCCCCCCCCCCCCCCCCCCTTTTTTTCCCCCCCCCCCCCCCCCCCCCCTTTTTTTTTTTCCCCTTTCCCCTTTCCCCCTTTTTTTTCCCCCCCCCCCCCCCCCCCCCCCCCCCCTTTTTTTCCCCCCCCCCCCCCCCCCCCCCCTTTTTTTTTTTTGGGGCCCCTCCCCCCTTTTTCCCCCCCCCCCCCCCCCCGGGGGGGGTTTTTCCCCCCCCCCCCCCCCCCCCCCCCCTTTTTTTTTTTTTTAAAAAACCCCCCCCCCCCCCCCCCCCCCCCCCCCCCTTTTTTTTTTCCCCCCCCCCCCCGGGGCCCCCCCCCCGGGGGGGCCCCCCCCCCCCCCCCCCCCCCCCCCCGGGGGGGGGTTTGTCCCCCGGCCCCCCCCCCCCCCCCCCGGGGGCCCCCCCCCTTTTTCCCCCCCCCAAAATTTCCCCCTTTTTTTTCCCCCCCCCCAAAGGTAGCCCCCCCCCCCCCCCCCCTTTTTGGAAACCCCCCCCCCCCTTTTTTTTTTCCCCCCCCTTTTTAAACCCCCCCCCAATTTTTCCCCCCCCCCCTTTCCCCCCCCCCCCTTTTTCCCCTTTTTTCCCCCCCCCCTTTTCCCCCCCCCCCCAACCCCCCCCCCCATTTTCCCCCCCCCCCCCCCTTTTTTTCCCCCCCCCCCCCCCCCCCCCCCCCCCCCCCTTTTTTTCCCCTCCCCCCCTTTTTTCCCCCCCCCCCGCCACCCCCCCCCCCCCCCGGCCCCCAAACCCCCCCCCCCCCCCCCCCCTTTTTTTCCCCCAAAAAACCCCCCCCCCCCCCCCCCCCCAAAAAACCCCCAAAAAAATTTTTCCCCCCCCCCAAAAATTTTTTTTAAAAAAAAAATTTTTTTTGGGAAAAAATTATTTTTTGGGGGGGCCCCCCCGCCCCCCCCCCCCCCCCCCCCCCCCGGGCCCCCCCCCCCAAAAAAAAAAAAAAATTTTTAAAAAACCCCCCCCTTTTCCCCCGGCCCCCCCAAAAACCCCCCCCCCCCCCTTTTTTCCCCCCCCCCCCCAAACCCCAAAACCCCCCCCTACCCCCCCCCCGGGGCCCCCCCCCCTTTCCCCCCCCCCCCCCTTCCCCCCCCCCCCCCCCTTTTTCCCCCCCCAAATTTAAAAACCCCCCCCCCCCCCCCCCCCCCCCCAAAAAAAACCCCCCCCAAACCCCCCCCCCCCTTTTCCCCCCCCCCCCCCCCAAAAAACCCCCCCCCCCCCCCCCCCCCCCTTTTTTTTGGGGGGGGCCCCCCCCCCCCCCCCCCCTTTTTTTTTCCCCCCCCCCCCCCCCCCCCCCCCCCCCCCCCCCCCCCCCCCCCCCCCCCCCCCCGGGGGTTCCCCCCCCCCCCCCCCCCCCCCCCCCCCTCCCCCCCTTTTTTCCCCCTGGCCCCCCCCCCCCCCCCCTTTTTCCCCCAAAACCCCCTTTTTTTTAAAAAAACCCCCCTTTTTTTTGGGGGGGAAAAACCCCCCCCCCCCTTTCCCCTCCCCTTTTTGGCCCCCCCTTTTGGGGCCCCCCCCCCCCCCCCCCCCCCCGGGGTTTTTCCCCCCCCCCCCCCCCCCCCCCCCCCCCCCCCCCCCCCCCCCCCCCCCCCCGGGGGCCGGGGGGCCCCCCCCGGGGGCCCCCCCCCCCCCCCCCCCAAAAAAACCCCCCTTTTTCCCCCCCCCCCCCCCCCCCCCCCCCCCCCCCCCCTTTTTTTTTTTCCCCCGGGAAAACCCCCCCTTTTTTTTTCCCCCCCCCCCCGGGGCCCCCCCCCCCCCCCCCCTTTGGGGGCCCCCCCCCGGGCCCCCCCCGGGCCCCCCCCCCCCCCCTTCCCCCCCCGGGGCCCCCCCCCCCCGGGGGGCCCCCCCCCCCCCCCCCCCCCCCTTTTTTCCCCCCCCCCCCCCCCCCCCCCCCCCCCAAAAATTTTTCCCCCCCCCCCCCCTTTCCCCCCCCCCCCCCCTTTTTTTCCCCCCCCCCCCCCCCCCCCCCCCCCCCCCCCCCGGGGGCCCCCCCCCCCCCCCCCCCGGGGGCCCCCCCCCCCCCCCCGGGCCCCCCCACCCCCCCCCCCCCCCTCCCCCCCCCCCCCCCCCCCCCCCGGCCCCCCCCCCCCCCCCCTTCCCCCCCCCCCCCCCCAAAACCCCGCCCCCCCCCGGGGGGGGCCCCCCCCCCCCTTCCCCCCGGGGGCCCCCCCATCCCCCCCCCCGGGGCCCCCCCCCCCTTTTTTTGGGGGGGCCCCCCCGGGGCCCCCCCCCGGGGGCCCCCCAAAAAAAACCCCCCCCCCCCCCCTTTTGGCCCCCCCCCCCCCCTTCCCCCCCCAAACCCCCCCCCTTTTCCCCCCCCCCCCCCTTGGGCCCCCCCCCCCCCCCCCCTTTTTCCCCCCCCCCCCCCCCCCTTTTTTTTTGGGGGGGGGTTTTTTGGGGAAAGAAAAAAAATTTGGGGAAAAGGGGGGGTGCTTTTTTTTAAAAACCCGCCCAAAAAGGGGGGGGAAAAAAGGGCCCAAAAGGGGGGGAAAATGTGCAGACCGGGGGCCCCCCCCCAAAATTTTTTTTCCCCCTTTTTAAAAATTTTTTTTGGGGAAAGAAAAACCCTTCCCAAAAAAAAAAAAAATCACAACTACAGACCAGTGTCGCTCCTTTCAAAACCCCTGGTAAGATTTCCCTTTAAAACAATAACCTCAAGACAAATGACAGTTTTTTAGATACCACTCACTACTTTGTGATCTCAATACGGCTTCAGGAAAAGGTTAACTCCTGTGATCTGTTTTTAAAAACCCCCCACCCAAAATGGCACCAGTCAATGTGATAAACCCCAAAATCCCGCTGTGTGGTTGCCCGGACATTGGGTGGGGCTTTCGGGCCGGGGGGGGGGGGGGGGGGGGGTGGCCCCGAGTCCCCTTACAAAAAATTCAAAACACTGGGAAAATTTCCCGGCCCACGCTAAGTCTCCCCAGTGATTCCCTTTATGGTAGATCTCTAAGTTTGTTTCAATGGGAAAGGAATCAGCAAGACTCCCATTGGGGCGAGTGTTTCCCCAAGGAAAACGTGCTGGAGCCTTGTTATGAATGTCTACTTCAACGACCTTCTTCATTCATCCCCGAATCAAAGAAAATGCAGACGAAAATGTTTCACTGACATTAATTTTTCCAAAAGAAGGGGAAAAGCCAGTGCTTCTAAGCTACATTAATCACCCCCTAAGAAACTATATTAGTTGGGGAAATGATGGAAAATAAAATTGCATTGGGGGAAAAACAAAAATGATGATCTCTAGGCACCAAGATGGTAATGTGGTGCAGAGTAAGGGGAATGGGAGGGGGTTGGCACCCGGGGAAGAAGTTGGGTATCCTTTGGGGTGAAATTTGACTCCAAAATAAACCCTGAAGAACCCCTGTTGCAAAACTTTTCAAACAAGGGAGCCGGAACCCCTTTCAAACCCCTTCGCCGTATCTCGCATCCCTTGACAGTAGGGGGTGCAAGATTTGTACGAGGGAAAAGTATGCTCACACCCTTAGTATGCCCACTTTCTTTGGTTTGCCTGCCCCCCCCCTCATCTGCAGCTGCTTTATAAAGTAAAGAACAAAAGCAAAACGTTCATCTCTGCCCGGCCATCCTAGATAGATTGTCATTTTAGCAGACCTTCAACACAGGGGGATGTTAGTGGCCTTTTCGTTTGGTACAAGGCCAAAATTGTTTAAAATACCAAAACTTGGATCCAATTCGGGACAGCCGGGGGAAACCCCAAACTTTTAAGCCCCCCCAAATGGGGGAGGGAAAACAGCAACTTCACTCTGGCTGTACCCCTTTTCCAGAAAAATCACTCCATCTGAGATCAATATACCCCGGATGACTCGAGTATGGAACACATTTATACAGCATAATGATTTTCAACGAGTTTAAAAATCAGCTGATCAAAGGAAAATGCCCGGCCCACAGATGGCCCCCCAAATTTTATCCTGTTTCCCCACTTGTTTTGTCTCAAAAAATAAAAAAAGCTTTCAAATGACTGATGTAGGGAAAAAAGCTCTTAGCCTGCCAATAAATTAGGAATCCTTAACCCGTAAATAGCTTGTCAATAAAGCCAAAGGGGAAACCCTTAAAACCCGTCAAAACCCTTTTGTAAAAAAAAAAAAAAAGGGGGGGGAAAGGAAAGCTAAGGGGCTATGTGGCCCAAAATCAAATTTTTTATTATTTTAATAAAAAAAGAACGCTAAGCCAAAAAGGGTGTACGCGCTGCAGGGTTTGGGAAAAAAAGGGGGGGTAATTGGGGGGGCAGAAGGGGGGAGGGAAGTTTATAGGTTTTCAGAAAAAAGGGGGCAGGGGGTAGTTTTGGGGGGGTAGAGGGAAGCAAGAGATTGAGGTAGAAATGGCTAAGGTTAAAACATCAGAGTTTGTTAAGTTAAATCAGTTGTTGTCAAAAAGTCAATGAGAGAACCGGATAAAAAAGGGGGGTCCATCAGCGGAAAGGGAAAGGGAAAGAAAAGAGCAGTGGAGCGAAGACACGTTGGAGGGGACATTCTGAGTGGGTCGTTTATGAAGTGGGGCAAACTTAAAAAAAATGTGGCTAAAACCCATAGTAAATTGACACCTTTTCACAGAGAGGAGCAGGGCCCTCTCCATGAATAACCATGATAAGAAGTTTGGCCAATTTCAAAGACGGGAGAGAGTTTGTCCCCCCCAAACCCCGACACTGGTGACAAAAGACGGCCCGTAACCTATACTCGGTTTAATAGATTGAAGTTTGTTACCCAGTAGAAGGCCCGACCAACGTTGTTGCCCCAACGGGTGTGGGAAAGGGGGGGTAGCTATTGCAGCAAAAACAGTCTAAATGAAAAAATGGTTTTGGTCCCTGTATTGCTTTACCCTGCGGGGAGTGTCTTCCCCGGGTTTATTGCCCCGTACGTCAATATGGGCCAGGGGCCCAACAAAAACAATATCTTTAAAGTTTTTTGGGAAAAGATGGGGGCAAACCAAATTGGATACAGAGAACTAAGGGGTGAAAAAGAAACAAATTTCTGTTAAACCTGTAAAGCACCCAAGGGGTTTTGGGGACAAACCAAAAAATGATGCCCCGGCCCCCGAAAGCCCCAAAACGGATAAGTGCTGCAAAAAATGGCATTTCAATTTTACAGTTTAAAAAAACTAGCTGAAGATAAATTAAATGCCCTCGTACACGGTCTGGAAACACTGCTGCGAATCCCCGCCTCAGAAGACTTAGACGATCTGTGTACACTGGGAATGGGATGAGAATGAGAGTTTAAATTTTGGGCAAGAAAAAAGGGGAGCGGGAAGCTAAAACCCTGACAGTTGGGCCCTTTTTAGCAAGGGAAATGAGGGAAAAAACAGACTCGAACAGCTGGGAAATTCCCCGGGGGGGGAGGGAAAAGTGGAAAGCTACATGAACAAAAGAAAGGGGGGAAATTTAAGAGAAACAAAAAGCGAATGTAGGCGAAAGGGGGGAAGGGACGGAGCAAAAGGGGGGGGCGAAAAAAAAAGAATGTCTTCTAATATCGGTTTAACCCTTCTATAAATGGGAAAGGGGGGAGGAAACTGGGGCATACAAACTAGCAAAGGGAAAAGGGGATCCCCGGCGATCGGGTAAGGATGGAATGTTTGCTTTGGGATAGAGGTCTAACGGGAAAGAGCGAAAAACACCAAAAAAATTAAAAAGGAATCATTTGGGGAAGAAAGGGGGTTAAAGGCCCAGAGAGAGTCAGGAGAGGCCCATTTAAAAGATCTGGGGGCACCATAATCAAGTTTTGATAAAATGAGGGGGGGGGAATTGGGGGGGAGGGTTTAAGGAGGGGTTTGACAATCCCGCTCCCCATGAAAGATGAGCAAAAGGGTTTTTAAAAAGGTTCAGCCGGCTGTGAATAATTTCTTAAGAAAAGGTAATGTGGGTTTTCCCGGATAACCTACCGGTCAAAGGGAGGCCTAGAAACCCGAAAGTATCACGTTCAGGGATACGGGAGCCCTTTGAGGGGACAAAGGTGATCGGGGATGACAAGGTCTAGGAAAAATAATTTGGTGAGTTTTAAGGGGGCTGGAAAATTTAAAACCCAATTTTGTGGTGGCCAAATTTGGGAAAAATTTATCGAACCCCCATGCTGGAGAGAAACTGCAATAAGGTGACAGTCCCGCGCCTGCCCCAGGGGAAAAGCGAAGTCATAAAAATAGGGGGTGGGTGACCCAAAAATTGGATTGGGGAAAAACAGAGGCCAAAACATTTATAGCAAGGAGAAAAAATGCTTTTGCTCAGAAAACATCCCTGGGGGACACCTTCAGTTTGGATAAAGTCCCGGGGGCAGAACATTATTAACCCCCAAAATGGGAAAAGTCTGTCAGTTAAAAGTTCTTAAGGAAGGTGGTAGATGGCCTTTAAAGGCCTAAGGGGGTGGCTTGGGGCCCAAAATTTTTTACCTCCAAAATTGTGTCATATGCCTTCTCAAGGTCAAAAAAAAATTTTGCCCAAAAAACCCGGTGGGGGTTTTTCGCCCAAAAGGGAATTTTAAAAATAATTTTTATCCAAGCTATTTAAAGGGGGCTATGGTTGAAAGTCCTTACGGGAAACCCCTATTTATGATGGTGAAATGTTGTGTGTTTTAAATACCACACAAAAAGTTTTATTTACCCGGCTTCCAATTTACTTTGCAAACTGCCCCTGGTAAGAGCAAAAGGGACGTAGTGGGAGGCTTTTATGTCCGTAGTACCCGGTTTTTCAGAAAAAGGGGAACAAAGGGGAGATTTCCCCAGCTGTGGAAGAACTCCTTGGGACCCAAAAAAAGATTGAAAAAAGGGGTAATTTGGACTGGGAAGGGCTGATGAAAGTAAATGCTGTAGCTACGAATATGAATGTCGTCGGGGGCCCCTGCCCAGATCGGCAAGTGAGTGTGTTCCTCCAAATTCCTGAAAAGGGGAAAAGGACATTATACTGTTCTTTCTGAGAAAGGCCAAGGGGCTAACTCTTTGGCAGACTTTTAGGAAGAAATGAGGGGCATAAAATTTGGGGCCCCTGAGAAATACAGGAAACCCGATATTTCCAATTTCATTGGCAAACAACAAAGGGGGTTTTCTATAACAACACCGGGGAACCCGCAGAACGGACCGGGTCCCGAAGAAAAATTTTTCCCCCTCAGTTTTTTGTACTTTTCTCCAGACTGCACCATAGAGGAAG